AACAAGAACCAAAAGAAACTAGAAGTGAAACTCACTGAAGTCATACAGGACGTAAAAGCAGAGGTACTCAATTTCAAAAAAGCCCATTTTGAAATAATGGAAATGAAAAACTTCATCCTGGAGATCCAGAACACACTAACAAGCATAGGTAATAGGGCCAACAAGACAGAGAAAAGAAAACTCCCCACATCTAGCCAGAGAAATGACCAACCAAGCACAGGAGATTCAGAGAATTCCTGGAAAGTATCATATGAAAAGACCATCCCAAAGTTACATAGTAATCTGTCTTCACAAAATAAGTCCTAAAGGCAGCAAGAGATAAAGGTCAGATTACCTTCCAGAGAAAATCCATCAGAATTGCTCCAGACTTATCTGCAGAAAAACTGTAAGCCAGAAGGGACTGGAGGCCAAGTTCGAACATTCTCAAAGATAAGGAATTGTAACCAAGAATTTCCAACCCTGCCAAGCTAAGCTTCATCAGTGATGGGGAACTAAAATCATTCCCAGATAGCCTATCCCTAAGATGCCACCTCCAGACCAGTCCTTCAGGAGACGCTTAGAAGGTATTGGCCAGGCTCGGTGGCTCAGCCTGTAATCCCACGCTTTGGGAGGCCAAGGTGGGTGGATTGCCTGAGCCCGCAGGTTTGAGATCCGCCCGGGCAACTTGGCGAGACCTCATCTCTACAATAAAAATCAAAAAATCAGCGGGGCGTGGTAGCGCGTGCCTGTAATTCTGACTACTCGGAAGGCTGAGGCGGAAGGATGGCCGGAGCCCAGCAAGTCGAGGCTGCAGTGGCCAGGAACGGCCACTGCACTCTAGTCTGGGTGACAGAGTGAAACTCCAACTCAAAAAAAAAGAAGGTATTGAACATAGGGAAAATTAAAAAAAAAAAAAGTCATACCCATCACAAAAGTACAGGCAAGCACCGAGTTAAGGTCTTAGGGTACAAAATCAGTGTGCAAAAGACAGTTTAATTTCTATACACCAGAAACAAGTAGAGAACCAAATAAAAAGTACAATCCCATGGATAATAGCAATATAAAAAATGAAATACCTTGTCATCTGCAGAGAAGTGAAAGATCATTACAATGAGAATTACTAGATGTTGCTCAAAGAAATCAAGGACGATACAAACGAATGAAAAAACATTCGATGCTCATGGATTGGAAGAATCAGTATTGTCAAGATGTCCATCCTATCCAAGGCAATCCACAGATCCAAGACAATACCCATAAAATTATCAACATCATTTTTCTCAGACCTGGAAACAATACAGAATTCATATGAAAAACAAACAAACAAAGCAATCCTCGGCAAAAGGAACAAAGTGGGAGGTATCACACTTTCACACTTTAAATTTTATTACACAGCTACAGTAACCAAAACAGCCTGGTATTGGCACAAAAATAGGCACATAGACCAATGGAATAGGGCAGAGATTTCAGAAGCAAAAACTCAGTCTTTCAACCAGCGCATCTTCGACAGAACTACCTATAACAACCTCTGTAAAGAAGAGACCGTATTTAGCAAATGGTGCTGGGGAAAAAATGGGCTGACCACACGTAGAAGAATGAAACTGGACCCCTCTCTTTCACTATATAAAAAAATCACCTCTAAATGGATCAAAGACCTAAACGTAAAGCCTCAAACTATAAGAATCCTAGATGAAAACATAGGAAACACCCTTCTGCGCACTGGAGTAGGGAACCAGTTCTTGATCAAATCCCCAAAAGCAAATGCCATAAAGATAAGATAGATAGGTAGGACCTCATCAAACTGAAAAGTTTTTGCAAAGCAAGAGAAACCATCAAGAGAAACAGGGAGATAACCCACAGAATGGGAAAAAATATTTGCAAATTATGTATCTGACAAAGGCCTAACATCCAGGATCTATAAGGAACACAAATGAAATGAGAGGAAAAAAACAACCCCATTAAAAGGTGGGCAAAGGACATGAATAGACATGTTTCAAAAGAAGACACACAAGCAGCCAACAGATACATGAAAAAATGCTCAGCCTCACTAATAGATAAATACAAATCAAAACTACAATGAGATACCACTAATTCCAGTAAGAATGACCATCATTAATAAATCAAAAAACAACAGATGCTGGTACAGTCATGGAGCAAAGTGAACGCTTCTACACTAATAGTAGGAGTGCAAGCTAGGTTCAACATCTATGGAAAGCAGTGTGTGGATTCCTAAAAGAACTAGAAACTGACCTTCCACACAGTCCAGCAATCTGTCTCCTAAGAATATACCCAGAGGAGCATAAATTGTACCAAAAAGACACCTGCACACACGTTTATTGCTGCATTATTTGCAATAGCATAAACATGGAACCAATCCTACTGTCCATCAACTGGATAAAATGTAGTACATATGCACAATGGAATATCACACAGCAATAAAGAACAGAATCATGGACTCTGCAGCAAATTGGATGGAGCTGGAAACCATCATACTTAGTGACTTATCTCAAAAACAAAGAACTGAATACTGCATGTTCTCACTCATAAATGGGACCTGAACACTAATCACATTAGTACAAGGGAGGGATCAGCAGTTGCTGGGCCCTGCCAGAGGAGGGGGATACATAACACCGCAAAGGTACCTGGTCCTATACTAGGGGAAGTGGGGGCCAGCTGGAGGCCCACACCTCACCTGCAGGCAGCCTACTTGTGTAGTTAATCCTTACTTGTACCCCATATCGCTATAACATATATACACACACATATAGAGAGAGAGTTTTTTTTACACATATATATCAACTTTTTTTTTTGAGTTGTTGTTTCACTCCATCACCCAGACTGGAGTGCAGTGGCCGCTCCCGGCCACCGCAGCCTCGACCTGCTGGGCTTCAGCGGTCCTTCCACCTCAGCCTTCCAAGTAGCCGGAACTACAGGCGCTCACTACCACGCCCAGCTAGTTTTTGATTTATTGTAGGGACAAGTTCTTGACAAGTTGCCCTGCGGGCTCAGGCAATCCACTCGCCTTGGCCTCCCAAAGCGCTGGGATTGCAGGCTGAGCCACTGAGCCCGGTCTTATATATCAACATTAACAGGAATTTGGAACAAGTTGATTCCCTCCCTTATGGATGACTTTAAATGGAGGAAGTAATTGCAGATGTGGTGAAAATGGCACGAGAACTAGAAGTAGAGTCTGAAGTTGTGACTGAATTGCTGCAATCTCATGATAAAACTTGAACAAATGAGTTGCTGCTTATGAATGAACAAAGAATATGGTTTCTGAGATAGAATCTACTCCTGGTGAAAGTGCTCTGGACATTGAAATAACAACATAAGGTTTATAAATAACAACATAAGATTTAGAATATCATGTGAAATTAGTTGATAAAGCAAAGGCAGGATTTGAGAGGATTGACTCCAATTTTGAAAGTTTTACTGTGGTAAAATGCTACAAACAGCATGGTGTACTGCAGAGAAATCGTTCGTGAAAGGAAGAATCAATCAATATGGCCAACTTCATTGTTATCTTATTTTAGGAAATTGCCATAGCCACCCCATCCTTCAGCAACTCTAATCAGCCATTAACATCAAAGCAAGACCCTCCACTAGGAAAAAGATGATCATTATCATTTTTAACAATAAATTTTTAATTAAATGTGTACATTTTTAGGCAGTGCTACTGCACACTTAATAAACTAAAGTTTAATGTAAACATAGCTTTTGTAAGTACTGGGATACAAGAAAATTGGTGTGACTCACTTTATTGCAGTTGCCTGGACCTGAGCCTGCAGTATCTCCTGTATTGGCATGGTCTAAGATGGGTGATTTGGTTGTGTTTTGGTGCAAACTATCAGAAATTAGGAAACAAAGTGGTTGTAGTCAGCAAAAGGAATGCTCAAAGTGTAAAGTAAAACAGTCCCAAATCAAGCAAACTATGACGTACCCCCACTGTAGTTTTGAAAATTAAATTAGGAACTATGAGGCTTATTTATTATATAGGCCATAATTAACAATAAGTAAATGTGCTAGAGGATGAGAGGAGGTAGACTGAACAGGCACCCAAATCATCAAGACAGATGGAGTGTTCTGGTAAGTTCATAAACACTGTAACAGGGCTTGAATGACAAGGTTCAAAGATAAAGGTCAAGGGAGGCAAAACAGTAGACTAGGTTGACAGTAGTGGAAAAGAATGTTTTGAGATTGGTAGTACATTCAGGGGTAAATAAGGTAAAGAACTGGAAATTCAACTTCCAATTCAGTCTCAACTATCAGACACTGCTTCACTGTAGGATAAGAAGGCGAGGTCACCAGGAAGTGACTAATGTAGAAGTGAGCAAGGACACAGCAGGGAGGGAGATGGCTATTTGAAATCCAAAATAACCATTGTTCCCTGTTGTGTTTGCTTCCCTCCACTACTCTTATCATCCCTTTACCAATGACCTTTCTAATCCTTAAAATAGCCTATAAGGTGTTATCCCCATTTTACAAGTGAAAAATATCTGGCTCTGAAATTTTTTGTTTTAATTTCAGTAGCTTTTGGGGGTACAAATGGTTTTTGGTTATATGGATACATTGTGTAGTGGTTTTAAGTTTGGGCTTTAAGTGTACCCACCACTCCCCCACCTGTGCACATTGTGCCTGATGGGTAATTTTTCTGATTTTGAAACTTGTCCCGTCTGCCTGCAAATTCCAAGGTCTTTCCACCACAACACATTGACTCTCAGTGGTCTTGTAGTGTTATTGCATCTTCCATAATTGGAAATCATGTCTAATTTTTATTAAATGGGGATGAAACACAGTGTATTTGTGTTGCTCTTGAATTATATTTAGCTCTAAATAGTTTTTTGTGAACTTAAGTATCTAACACTGTATATTTAATTCCTAATTTTTTTTTTCAAGAAAAAACATTTGGGACCCTCCTTTTCTTAAGACATCAAGGAATTTCCAAATACGTCCAATATGACAACACTGAATTTCTACAACTATGCCCTAAAACATTAAGTTAATACTTATATTGCATTATTTTTCAGGTGTGAAAATGAAACCAAGTTCAAAACAGAAGACGTATTTTGGGCTTACAATTTCTGCCCCACTCCATACTCCTGGACTGCACTTCTGGGCCTTATTTTGTATCTTGTTTTCTTTGCACCTGGTAAACAAAGGCTTTGTTGTTACTATTGTTGCATTAATTAAATTCCCTCTTTTAAGAGGAGGCAAACTACTATTTTTCAGATTTTCTTACATGCTCTTTTACTAAAGTGCTTTTGTTTTTTTTATATCTCAGGAATGGGACCAATGCCTTGGACTGTGAATTCTGAAATATATCCCCTTTGGGCAAGAAGTACAGGAAATGCTTGTTCATCTGGAATAAACTGGATCTTCAATGTTTTGGTTTCATTGACGTTTTTACACACAGCAGAATATCTTACATACTATGGTAAGAGAATATTTTTTTCCAACATGGCTTAATTTTTATTTTTCCTACTCTATTTTTAGATATGCTATCAATTGTGATTGAAAGAGTACATGATTATATTTTTGCTGTTATAAATATCTCCGTGTGGCTTTCTTATTTCCCCAAGGCCCTGGAAATGTGTCAGGGAAAAGAAAAAAGGAATTTTCCTTTCCTAAGCAGCACTGTTTCTTGTCCCTCAGTGCTTAGGGCTGTCACCACCCACCCCCACCCCATCCCCCGGGTTCCAACCCCAGAATCTCCCAGCCACTTCCCCAGTTGGACATCTTCACAGAGTCGCTTTTAGTTTTACAAAGAAACTTAAAAATGAAAAATGATAGAAAGATGTAGGCAGGAAGTCTAGGGTCAATGAGATGTCCTGTGATAGGGATGGAGTCAAGTCCAAGAACAGAATCAGCACTGGGTTGAAAGCAGCTTGCCCAAATGCTGAAAGTGTGCTGTGCTGTGTATCCTGCCTTCCACTGTTTCATCTGTGCTGTTTAGGCCTAGGCATGTGCATTTCAGTGCCTTCCGAGCACTTACCACTTCCAAAACTGTAAATGTGACAGAAGTGTTCAACTGAAAATGTGTGGAGACCATAATTCAAGGAAAACAATATTGCTAAGTGGCTGAGTTAGGAAAATACTTTGGAGAGCAACTTCAAATCCGTTTATACTATAGTAAAAAGACTTTAGAAATGAAAGAGGATGTCTGCATTTCCACATGACTTTATAGGTTGTCATAGGCTTCTAAATTATGAAATGTGCAGTTTTCGTTCTCATCTGCTCCTAAGGCTCTGAGAAGTATATATGGAATGCCTACTGTTAGACCATTCTTCCGGAAGGCCTTCTCTGATCTCCTCCCCACCTCACCTTATCATGCTTTGGCCCCTCATAATTACTTTTTGCAGAAATAAGTTTGCCTGCCTTTCAGCACCCACCTTACTCGACCATAAATCCCTGAAGGGCCAGGACTATGCTTTGTTCACCTTTATATTCCCAGTTCCTTCCAGAACAGCCTGTTCACCTGATAAGCATCCAAAAGTGTTTGTCAAGTGAATTAAATACATGGATGAATTTGGTAGATGAAGGTTGAATATGAGGAAACATTATAAAAATTTGTTTCTCCCTCTTCTGAACATGCTGAATTTGCTTTTATTTAATAGTATTTATCTAATGCTTTTATTATCTTCATAAACTCTTCTCTCTTCCATTCACCACTTAGAACATTCAGAAATATTTTATTGGGAAGGAAATGCACTGGCATTTTAAACTAGATATATATTTTTTAATATATTCAGCTTTATCCCTTTTGGCAATTGAAAATTTTCATGCAGATTAATGAATTTATCTTTATGACATGATAAGTATGAGAACAATAAATATTTATTTGTATTTACTGACTCTTGGGAGCTCTTAAATATTTGAAGACCCAAATATGTATACTAACATCCTGAGAAAGCATTTTTTTGTACAAAGTCATAGACTAGATAATAAAATCTGTATGATAATAATTTTGATAGCAAAGCTCCTCTTTCTTGACTTCAAACTGCCAGAAAATCATGAGGCAACAGAAGTAAAATGTAGGTAGGACACAACCAGGCTTCTTTCAGAAATCTCCAGTTAGAATAGAAGTGTTTGCTCTGCATTAAGCTTCTCTCATGTCAGAGCACTGGTCCCTTCGGTCTACTACTTTCTAGTAACGGGAAAAATTTCAGTTCAGGTTAGTTCCCCCCCCCTTTTTTGTGTGGACATTTTATTCTACGTTACTGATATATGTTTTTATATTCCTGACTTAATAAATATACAACCTAATGATGTATTTCTCTGGAAGTACCCATGTCTTCTTTTGTTTTCTCCTTTTTTTGTTGTTTCATAAGATCTCAATTTTTTTATTCCTTCCTAAAACCATATTGCTTGGACAGGTCTGCTTTGCACATCTTCAGTAATATTCATTTAAAAGTATCATTAAAATATTACCAGTATGCCATTTGCATACAGCATGTGTGGCTAAGTAGATCCTTTAGACAGCAGAATATCAAAGCTCCTCTTAAGGTACTGAAATTCAGGCAAACGTGATCTTTGATTCCTCAATTTGTCTAATTCAATGAAATATTGGTTTTAATCTGGAACTTAATATAGGACTCTTACAAGATTTATATCCTTTAGAATAAAGCTGAGGAACATCTATACTGTTCAACAATCCTGACAGACTCGTTGTAGACGTTTTATTTTTCATTTTCATTCCAAGAGAGAATAATGGAGAAAGTGAGCTACTTTATTGACTTGACCGTGACATGGAGCAGGTCACTGGTTCCCTGGCATGCCCATACTCCTAACCACAGATCTCACCAGCAGAATCTATACTTAGCAGGTAGTGTGGCATTTGCCTGCTTTGGAGTCCTCAGATTTTATAAAATGACCTTGTCAGCTTTGGGAATCTGGGTCACATGCAAGAATCTGTCATTGACTTGAGGAATCCTCCTGGCCAGGCATGGTGGCTCACGCCTATAATCCCAGCACTTTGGGAGGTCGAGGTGAGAGGATTGCCTGAGCCCACAGGTTTGAGACCAGCCTGGGCAACTTGTCAAGACCTCATCTCTACAATAAATAAAAAACTTAACTGGGCATGGTAGTCTGTGCCTGTAGTTCCAGTTATTTGAAAGACTGAAGAATCGCCTGAGCCCAGCAGGTCAAAGCTACGGTAGCCGGTAGCATGCTAATGCCCTCTAGCCTGGGTGACAGAGTGAGACTCCTACTCAAAAAAAAAAAAGGAATCCTCCTAACCCACTAATTGTTTTTAACTGTAAGAGTGTAGCACCAACAAATTTGATTTGTTACTTCTAATTATGCTACTGTTCATTATCTTGTGAAAGATAATGATAAAGATAAAATAGTATAATTATAAAGCCAAACTGGGCTTGCTCAGTTATAGATATTGTAGTTTAGCAGTCTGGTTTACTGTAAAATATCTTACCATCTGCACTTGTTTTTCTGTATCATCATCATAACTACCATCCTTTCTTTGTCCTGTCCCCTTCTGCTAAAGATTCCATTTCTGTTCCCACTTCTACAGTTTTACTGCAACTGTACAACAACACAGGGCATCTCCTTTCTTTTTTTTTTGTCAAAATTCCCACATTCTCCAACAATTAGAGAACTCTTAGCTTATCAATATCACACTTTTAATGAAAACATTCCCAATTAATTAGTTACATTAATCTTACCCTACCTCTTGATAGCAACTTTCTTCCCTAATCATTTGAGACCGAATTCAAGAAAATTTCAGAAACTCTACCTAAGGATTCAGCCTGGGCCGTTATGTGACTTTTAGGTCCACATTCTCAGAGACATGTAGCCTTTTCTTACTGCAGTGTAACACTCAGTCATGCATTCAGATAACCTTGTATTCTTTTCTGATTATTTCTTTTTTCTTTTATAGCTTTTATCACTTCTTTCAGGATATTTTCTATTGTTTCTCAAGTATAAGCCACAAAAAAATAACCTTACAGGGTTTAACATGAACCAAAAAAATGAAATAAAGTTTTATATTTGTAAATAGAGCTGTAGTTTATAAACAAAGGGAATTTTTTAATAGAAGTCCAGCTCCTTAATGAATTATATGGCTCTGAAAAACTGTCTAGATTTAGTTAACCTGTTGATGTTTTTTCTAATATCTCATAATTTATCTCTGTTCACTTTTTGTTTTCTCATGGCTCCACATTTCACAGAGCAGATTCTGTTGGGTGGCCAATTCAGCAACATGTTTCCCCCATAGTTTTCCTTGATCCTTGATCCAAGTATACAATAAAAATTATTCACTTGAATCATCCTGAAACCTCCCTGACTCCCCAGGCCCATGAAAAATTTGTCTTCCACTAAACCAGTCCCTGATGTCAAAAAGGTTGGGAACTGCTGCTCTGGACCCTGTCAGGCACTGTATAGTCACTGGGAGCCCAAAGACAAGCCCATAGACCCTGCCCAAAAGGAGACCACTTTGCCACTGAAAGAGAAGAGCATGTCTCCCTCTCAAGTATCTCTCCTTTACTTGTACATGATTTTGGCTGTAAGATTTATAAACTCATAAACTGCCAGCACTTTAATAGGAGCTGAGAGGCTATCTTATTTTACTTAATGAGGCAGTTGAGGCCCAGAGAAGAGGTAAAGTGGCTATCCAGAAGTCATATAGCCAAAACTTAAGACCAGATCTTCCAACTCCCAATGTTATACTCTTTATTTAGCCATTTGTCACACAGTTTTTTATCTTCCATCCCCATATACAGGATGGTCTGAACCAAAGGCCCAAAATAAGGTAGGGTTAGAGTTTGTTGTTTTCTACCATCAAAAGTAAAACTATAGGTTCTTATATTTAAACTGAGAATCTGATTATTAAAAAGGCCATCTCAGAAAAAATGTCATCATACATCTCATCCATCTTGGCTTGCAGTGTTGACACTTAGAAAATACAACCAGGTAGAATTTTGTGTATCTGGGGCTATGCTGCACTGACATGCACAATCTTATAGTAAAACAAAATTCTCTAACCTCATTGAGCCTACATTCTAGTGGAGGGAACCAAAACAAATTAGCAAACTTAATAGTATGTCAGATGATGATATGTGCTGTGGGAAAAAAAATGGACAATAGGGATCCAAGAGAAGGAACAAGGAAACCAATTAGGATACTACTGCAATTGCACAGATGAGAGAGGATGGCTTTCAGATCACAGATATCTGTGAAAGTGGTGTAGCATGGCCATCTTTGGGTTATATTCTGAAGGTAGATTCAAGAGGATTTTCTTTTAGATTCGATATTGGGTGTGAGAGTAAGAGAAAAGTCAAGGATGACTCTAAGATTTCGAACATAAGAAACTGGAAGAATGGAGTTACCATGTACTCCACTGAGGCATTAATTCAGCAATCCCATCATTGCACAAGGGAGACCCTTAAAAAGCCCCTAGAATTTATATATAAAAAATTGTGGTTTTTATTCTTACATATTTAAATTTCAGTCACCTTCAAAGTACTCTCCATTTGATGCAATATACTATGAGATGCCTTTTAGTGCTTCTGCCATTTTTTTTTTGGTTTCACTTCTTCCGCATTGGAAAAATGTTTCCCTTTGCTTGCAAATCACCCATAATAAAACAGGCAAAAGCGTTGAAAGAATCTCAAAAAGAAAAAATTAACTGAAGCTGAACACAACCTCTCACAACGCTAGCCAGTACACTGATTCTGATGGATTTCTAGAATACCTACCTAGCGGGGGGAAGCCAGTACTACAAGGGGCCTGCCCTCCAAAAAATATTTATGGTTTTTTGGGGGGCCTCCCCCCTACTGGGTTCTAGAAATGCAAGATGAATAAGAAAGGAATTTCTCCTGACTTTAAATGCTTCTAATGTAGCAAACAAGCAAACATAAATGCGCACATATGCCTATACTTCTTGATTATTATGATAAGGGTCTCAACAAAGTACTCTGAAAGCACATGGGAGAGAGCAATTCTCTCTAGTCAAGGAAGTGAGGAAAGGCTTCAAGCAGAACTTACATCTGAGCCTGATCTTGATTCTTCTTAAATTTGGCATTACATGACTTGAGTTTCTCAACTTGAATTTAGAAAGACAAACTATATTATATTCACAGAGTTAGAACAATTAGAGTAAGCCAGATTGGTAATAATTTTTTGGTCCCATTTCATACTGTGGTTATGCATGGCTGAATATTTTTTTAAAAAATCAAAATCAAGTACTCTTTTCAAATTAAGCCTCTCTGCATATATTCATATACAAATATCTATTATTTTCCATTGCAGGGGCCTTCTTCCTCTATGCTGGATTTGCTGCTGTGGGACTCCTTTTCATCTATGGCTGTCTTCCTGAGACCAAAGGGAAAAAACTAGAGGAAATTGAATCACTCTTTGACAACAGGCTATGTACATGTGGCACTTCAGATTCTGATGAAGGGAGATATATTGAATATATTCGGGTAAAGGGAAGTAACTATCATCTTTCTGACAATGATGCTTCTGATGTGGAATAATTTTCAGCTGCTGATATATTTAGTTATTTAACAAACTTGGGGGAGAAGAACAGCAGTTGGTGACCTCACTGCCCTGCTTCTAATCTGGTTCTTTCCACAGTCTAGATTTTGAATGACTTCATATTCTAGAATATCTGATTAGGAAGATGATACAACCATAATGACAGGTTTTTTTTTCACAAGGAGAAATATAAAATATATATATTTACAGAGATTTTAATCTAATAATTCTTGAGCAAATGTGTGTAATCCCTCCCTAAGATAGTCTAAAATGAATATTGTACCCAGTGACTTCAGTGGTATCCTTTTTCCTAAGACCATATATAATTATTAGTGGCAATAGTCAGTGCTAATCTAGCCAAATTACATATGTATGCTATATTTATAAAGGATTCTGGGAGTTGGTCCAATGGTGTTCTATGTCTAAACATGGCCTATTGGCCCTAAATTTCCCTAAGGAGTAGTAGCTTATCTGTGATCAGCTGTTAGAAAGTAAATTCCATTTAGCTTTCATCAGTAAACTCAAAAGTGCCTCCAACAAGGGCACAGCTGTCCTTATCTCCTTGGAGTCCACATTTTGGTTTCCCTTTCCAATTCCAATATTTAGAATTCTTCAGAGACTGACTCTGCCTAGGGTCTTATGAACATTATTAAAAGCAGGTCTTTTGGGGGTTATTTTTGTACATGTTTTTTGCATCAGTGATTAGTATACATTTGCACAGATAAGCTAGCAACTTTTGAGAAGTACATTTTGTCAGAAAGAAGCAAAGACTTTTATAAATCCCTAATTGGTGAGTCACTTAGGTATACAATTATAAATGCAAAGTAGTGCCAGATATTTAACTGTATATCAGGGTCAGTTTTGTTCATGCCAAAATCATCACACCTTCCTCATTGGCTCTGGAGTCTTACTATTTTGTGCCTTCATTTGTGTTATATAAATAGCTGCAAGCAGACTATTTTTCCCTTTTAATCCAATAATTTCTGAAACAAAAAAGGAGGAAGGAAATCAATGGCAGAAATAATCCTGCTGTCATTGATGTTTGTTTAATTAAAATAATGGGACTTTTTTTCTTAACTTTATTAACTCTTCCTAAGGAAACTGTCACATTTTTTTACTTAATTGTACTTGTCTTTTTTTACTCTGAGCATAAACTAGGTTTTATTATGCACACCTTTTATCATTTTCCCTGACAATTTACCAAAAAAAAGGAAGATGCATAGATTTGTCTCTGTGTTTTCTTTTTCTCATTCTTGGCTTGAATTTTTTTTCCTTCTTGTCTAAAAATTGAGATTTCCTATTGGAACAGATTAATGGTTCTAATATAGCACGTCTATAAGAAATGCTGACTTACTGTATTTCTACAATGTCTTTCCAAAGTGTTGTTTTTTATGGTAATTCATCACTGACTTCTTAATTTTTGTTCTTTATACAGCATGTACAAAATTACTTGCTAGTTCCAGTAAAAATATGAATGAATCTTCTGTGACCATTTAGGAATGTATTAGTTTGATGCATTTTTAAATGGCTCTAAAACATCTAAAAAGACACATATTTGGAGAGAAAAGGTGGCTGTCTAATTTTGTTCCTATCACAATTATCAAGCTGAGAATATAGCCAAGGAGTTCATTCCTTAAGTCATGTGGGGTACAATATGTGCTTAAGGAGTCACGTTAGCACCCTAAAAAAAAAATCCTTTAACCAAAAAAAAAGGTTTTCTCCCTTTGGTTGTCTCATATTGTTTTTAAAAGGTTACAGAGAGGGTTTTTTTCTTTGAATTAGATGCTTTGACAATTGATTTCTAAGAGGATATTAGTATTGATTGTTTTCCCCAGAAAAATAGACAGTATGTAATAGAGAAAATTGTTATTTCATTGATAGTTCTTATCCCATATTTTACACAGATAAAGTGAAGTGGAAAATGAGCTACTGTGTGGTACAATCAAAATATAATGGGGAGAAAAAATATTTAGACAAAGTGCTCTCTAAAAATTTATTTTTCTGATTTATCCAAATAATTGCCTCAATTCTTCTTTTTATTATATACATAGCCTTAACTATATATTTATATACTCAGCTGGGCTGATGCACAGTTACTTTATTAAAGGAGCAACTGGACTCTTATTATTTCCTAAAGCAGAACATGGCCTGTTCTCCCTGACATAAGAAAATGATGTTTTCAACTTTATATCCACAAATGCACATAGTAACAGGGAAAATTAGCCACAGTTCTCCCCCCCATTCCTCAGCCCCTTCTTTAAAGGACTATTTATTTATATAGTGATAAAGATAATATTCCTTATCTTTGAAGTATAAGAGAGAGGCACAATATAAAAATTATTTATAACTTTTTAGAAACAAATAACTTCTTGAAAAGGAACCTTATACAATTAGGGTATTATTTTTAGATTTGGTGAACATTTATAGTATATTAAAAATTAAATGTTTAAATTTTGGAGGTTTTTTTATATTATGCATCTTTTAAGTTCTCAGTATATTTGGCTACCACTATCAACTTGAAAACATTCCACTTGAAACATCAACAAATATATATTTTGTAGGACAATTTATATATGATGTGATCTTACCTATCATATTAAAACAGAAACAGAAACAGATTAAGCATCATGCTTTCAACCAAAATTATAGGTTTCCTTCTAAACATTCTGCAGATTCAATAGAGGTATAGTATGTTATAGTGAAGAAAGTCCTGATCCCTATCAAGGCTTAGCTGGATGGCTGATCTGCACTAGACTTAATACATTATTTCACCTGCATATTAAACACATAAGGCTGAATGTGATGTCAAAAAGATTTGCCGTTAATGTTTTTCTTCGATGTAAACATTCTTAATTATTTTTATTGTTGCACCTAACTTAGTCAGTCGTTACCCAAAATATGATTATATTTAACAGCAGAAGATTTAAATAGTAAAAGGTAATGTTTCTATTTTAAATTTTGTTCCCACCCATATGCAGTAGTTAGTTCCCTGATTGAAAATGCTATGAAAATACTGAGTGCTTTTTCATAATTTATTTTATCACTGAACCACATTTTACTACATAAGAGTCTAAATATCATTTAGGTTGGTTATTTACTCTAAAATGGGAAATCAGTTAAATCAAGGAATTTATAAAATTTTTACTGTAATTTCAGTTATCTGTTATACAGAGGAAGGATGATCAGGAAAAATATGACAACTTACTCTTTTGCTTTTAAATAGCATAGTAAAATTGAAAATGTATTATAATAACTCACAGATCCAGAAGAGGGGTAGTAGAAAGACATCTTAGAAAATGCAATCCATACATTTATATTTTAAAAGTCTACAACTTAATGACACTAATATAGTTTATAAATTCTGTAATATAGTAGGGAGAGTTGGAGGATTAAGTTTATCTCATCAGTTCAGTAGTTTAAAAAATAAAATTAATGGGATGTTTTGTTGTAATCAGATTTTTTACCATTTCTCAAGTTATAAAATATCAAATTATACTAAGTACCTAACAACTCAGTTGTTATGGCAAGTTTTCAGTTACCAAATTAACATCTTTTCACTAACTAGGAATAAAAGAATTAGATGATATACTAGACCAGGAGCAGAGAATTCATAACATATGCTTTTATAGTAAAATGTACTAAGTAAAATTTACAGCTCATATGTAGCTGCTGCCAATAAGAAGACTCAGAATTGTTCCTGGATTCATTTTAGCATCCTGCTTTCTGTCACTTTTATCAATCTTCCTAGTCTCATGTAATGTTAAGCTAATTTGATGAAATGGTTCAGGTTGTAGCAGTGTATAATTTGTCAGTATGTTCAGTTCTTCTAGGTGAGCAATATTGCTATTTTCTAGAAATAGCATTCATTTAAAAATGCCAAACTGCTAAATGCTACTAAGTCTTTCTTGTATATTGTCTATTCAGAGAAGGAAATTTTTGTATGACAGTAATCATCAGAGAGGTGTTTTGTAAGATTGTTGATGTTCAGAAGTACATGAAAGCATTTTATCCTTATAAGTTTCCTGTGAGTGTAAAACAGTGTAATTCCTGTAAATCTTTACTTTATATGTATAAAATACAGTCTGTTGTACTTGAGTAATTTGGTCTATGAAATTTTAAATACTTTCATTTAGCAGTAATATTTAGATTTTTATTTTAGACAGTTAAGTTCATGCGTTTGATTTCTGTCATATCAATATAAATGAAAAAAAGAAGTGGACCATGCAGCTAATGAGTACTTAAAATTAAAAAACAATGTTTTGTAAAGTTTTAACATTTTAGCAAATTTAACATCATTCCATCTCATTTAAAGGTTAAAAAAGATGAGTCTTTAGCCAAAGTAGAAATTTACATTCCACATGTCCAAACTGTTTCCTGGCAGCCTTTGGACTATATCTCAGTTGATGTGATAGTATCTTTTATTTGTAATAAACATTCAAATTTCTATCTAGAAGCTTTAATGTACATCTAGACTAAATTAAAACACAGTTTTATGCTTTTAAAATATATGTATTTCAAACTATATATTTTAATTTCTGAGTGCATGTTATATAGTATTTAATAATTCACGTCTTGGTAAATCAATATAAATATTTATTCCCACAAGTGACATATCTCTTAAAAATTATGACTATGTACCATTTCCTTCAAAGTCATCCTAGCCTATGCTGTATCAAAAGTATTGTATATTTTATGGAGATTTAGTGATATACATGTAAATGTTTTTTAAGTTATTTTATTGAAGTTCAATCTTTACATAAAATTAAAACCTTTTTTTAAAAAAGTGTCAGTGCCAGAACTGTAAATGAAAATAATCAAATAAAAGTTAAGATAATTCATTACTCACTTTCCTTGCACTTCTTTATTTTCTCTAATTCTTGTCCTTGGATGTAAGTTACATAGTTAAAGCATCTACAAAGACAGTCTGCTACTCTATATTAATGCAGGTCTATTGTATATTATTTTACTTATTTTGATTATGAATAAACTCAGTTATCTTTAAAACTATTTTGTAACAGCCAAAAAAAAGGAATTATCCTAAATAGTAAATATAAAACTTTGAAATGTGATGCTTAGGAACCCTTGAAGTTCTGATTTTTTTTTTTTTGATTTGGAGTCTCACTCTGTCACCCAGACCTGAATGCAGTGGCACACTCCCGGCCACCACAGCCTTGACCTGCTGGGCTCCGGCGATCCTTTCGCCTCAACCTTCCAAGTAGCGGGAACTACAGGCATGCACTACCATGCCCAGCTAAGTTTTTTTAATTTATTGTAGAGATGAGGTCTCATCAAGTTGCCCGGTTGGGTCTCGAACCTGCGGGCTCAGGCAATCTACTCGCCTCGGCCTGTAAAGCGCTGGGATTACAGGCTGAGCCACCGAGCCCGGCCGAAGTTCTGATTATTAACATAACCAGAGGTGGACATAAACCATTAAGATGAGATGTCAAAAATTATCTGTGGTTGTTGTTTTATAGTGAAAACTAGATACCTGCTGAACGGTCAGCTGACAGTTCCACTGGGGACTCTGTTGTTCTTTGTTGCCATTCTGCCCCATCCATAGCTTTTATTAGCAAACGTACACTTGTTTGACATGGGAAGTTACTAGACCTGTCTCTATAGTTAGGTGTGTGTCATCCTGAGCCTCAGAAACAGCCCAAGGAGGTCCTCTGAAGACATTAGACCTACTCTCATTTAAAGGTTTACCGTGGAGGTGCAGCTAATCAAAAATTTTAATGTCAGTAGGTAAGGCAAAAATCCCACAATGAAAACGACCCTTGAAAATCCCATAAATGACTGGATTTGGTGGCTCGGCCTGTAATCCTAGCATTTTGGGAGGCCGAGGCAAGTGGATTGCCTGAGCCCGCAGGTTCAAGACCAACCCTTGCAACTTGGTGAGACCTCCTCTCTACAATAAATCAAAAATTAGCCGGGGGAGGTAGCGCACGCCTGTAGTTCTGGCTACTTGAAAGGCTGAGGCGGAAGGATCGCCGGAGCCCAGCAGGTCGAGGCTGCGGTGGCTGGAGCGTGCCACTGTACTCCAGTCTGGGCGACAGAGTGAGACTCCAACTCAACAAAAAGAACAAAGAAAATCCCATAAATTACATATAAATTATCCACACACTTGAACAATGGACACCTGAATAGTACAGTACACATCTATTATCTGTGATCAGAAAACTCATTTATTTGTCCAATCCTGTGAGGTAAACACTATCATCCTTTTCCAGATAGTAAAACTTAAATTAGAACATTTTTGTGACTTACCCAACATCACACTAGAAAGTTATACAAAACTCTATTCTGCAATGACTATTCCAAGTCTTCCTCTCTCTCTACTCATTTGGAATGTCACCCCTTCAGGCCTATGGAGATAGATTACAAAACAGAAATTATGGAATTCCTGCATTATAACTTAAAGAATATATAGAAAAACGATCAGATACCTCATCTTGAACTACAGAAACAAATTCTGAAAACTTTGATGTAGGGATTCTTCTAAAATATGAGACAATATAGTACATTGTTTAAGAGGTTAACTGAATTCAAGTCATCTAGATTTGTTGTTTTCTTTCTTATTTTTTGTTTAAAGAAACAGGGTCTTGCTCTGTTATCCAGGCTGGAGTGCACTGGCACAGTCATAGTTCACTGCACCCTTGACCTCCTGAACACCAGCCTCCAGAATAGCTGTGACTACAGGTTTGTACCACCACAACCAGCTAATTTCTTTTGCTGTTGTTTTATAGAGATGGAGTCTCATTGTGTTGCTCAAGGTGGTTTCAAATTCCTGATCCCAAGTGATCCTCTTGGCTCAGCCCCTGTACCTGCCCTCAAATCATCTGGATTTGAATCCTAGTTTTTCCATATGCTGCCTAGTAACCTAAATTACTGAAGTACTCTTTGCCTTATTTTTATTGCCATAAAATAATGTTACTATTCACCTCGATTATGTGTTGTTAGAGTTTTATTGATTAATACTAAGGGCTGGAGAATTGTTGGTTATTATTAGTGCCATCATCCATATCTTGTCCCTCTTACTGCTAAGGTCAGAGTGTTCAAAGCACAGGCAGTTTGCTTGTAAACTCCCTTCCTAGGAAAAACTACTAGCGACAGGAGCACAGGTTTTTTGACATATGTCATCCCAACTGACCAGAGTGATTTGAGCTGATCTGGCTAAGTCTGCTGTCCTCCTTCCTTTCTTCCCCTCTTTCCATAAACACCCTCCTGAATGGCAGTTGATGAAAAAATAGCCTCCCCATATTCTCCAGATTAATAGAATTTAGTCTACAATTTCTGTTTATGTGATCTCACAGTCAAGAAGTAAAAATGATTTTAGAATATCAGTAACCTTTCATTTAACATCCTTTAGTATTTAAAAAGTAATTTTTTAAATCTTCTCCAAACAAAACAGTGACATTACCCCTTCCCTAACTGGCTATATTGAAATTAAGCTCATTATAGTTGCCATGAATGTAGTATGAAACACTGAGCTATTTTTTAACCCTTAATTTTTCATGTACTTATCCACTGCACCTACTAAATCTAATTTCAGGCCTTTTCACAAAATGGCACTGAAGGCCAAAAAGGAAATAAAAGATCCACACAACACGCACCTTCCAGAGGCCCAAGACACTGCAGCCCCAGAGACAGACCAAATATTCTCAGAACAGCACCCCCAGGAGAAACAAGCTTGACCACAATACATCAGCAAGGTTTCCCTGACCACTAATAGAAAACAACAACACACTTGTGTTCATTGTAGATGTTAAAGCCAACAAGCACCGGATAAAACAGGCTAGGAAGGAGCTCTATGTCACTGATGTTGCCAATGTCATCACCCTGTTTGGGCCTGATGGAGAGAAGGCGGCATTATGTTCAACTGGTTCCTGATTATGATGTCTGGATGTTGCCAAAAAAATTGAGATCATCTAAACTGAGTCCAGCTGGCTAATTCTGAATACATCTTTTCACCACACTAAAAAGAAAAAAAAATTTCAGGTGATCAGCATGCAGGTAATTTTTTTACACAAAAAATTTTGGCATGATTTACTTTTACTTTTCACAAATATATACTAAAATCACAAAACAAATACTTTAGCATGGTGGTTCTCCAATAATGGTCCTCAGACTCAGCACTGGCATCCCCTGTGAGTTTGTTATAAATGCAAATCTGGGGACCTCACCTGGACCTATTGAATCATTCTCTGGGGATACAACCCAAGAAACTATTTTCAGCAAGAACTCCAGATGATTTTTTAAAGCACACAATAACTTAGAAGCTATTGTGTTAGAAGGCTGGAATCATCACTTTAAAAAGGAATCTGTTGTGTTATTTTAATTGGTGAATTCATCTAGTGAATAAAGTGACTGGGCCAGGCACAGTGGCTCAACCCTGTAATCCCAGCGCTTTGGAAGGCAGAGGCAAGAGGTTTGGCCCACCTTTCTGGGCCAAACCAAAATGTAAACTTTGCATGTATCAATCTACGTCCTTGCCTGTAAGCTTCTGTGCCCCTAAAAGATACAAAACCAAGCCCTAACATAATCACCTTGATCACATGTTCTCAAGATGTCTTGGGAATATGCCACAGGCCAAGGAAACTCATATTTATCTCAGAATAAGCCTAACATATTTTGGCAGAATTTGGATTTTTTCTATCATTTGTCAAATTAAGAATAATATAAGTTTTTAACTTACCTTCACTCATTCCATTTCTAATGGTTCTCCATTCTTTAGGTATCTGAGCTTCTGACCTATACCATTTTCCTTCTCCATAAAGAATTCCTACTAACATTTCTTGCAAGGCAGATCTACAAACAGCAAATCCCCTCAATTTATCTATAAAAGTCTTTATTTCTTATTTTTGTTGGATAATTTCTCAAGATACAGAATTTTAGGTTAGTGGGGTCTTTTTCTTCTAACACTTTAAATATTTCACTTCATTCTTTTCAGGCTTGCATGTTTTCTGAGGAGAAGTCAAATGTAATTCTTATTTTTATTCTTCTAAACTAAGGTGTTTTTTTCCCTTTAGTTCTTTCAAGATTGTCTTATCTGTTATTTTCAGTAGTTTGAATATGATATGCCAAGGTATTTTTTTGTTTGTTTTTTGTTTTAGTTTGTTGATGTTTTGATATTTATTCTGTTTCCTAGATCTGTGGTTTCACTTCTCACATCACTTTAGGGAAATTATTCCTTCAAATATTTCTTCTGTTCCTTTCTTTCTTCTCCATCTGTTGTTTCCCTTATGTTCCCATTACACCTTTCGTAGTTACCTCACAGTTCCTGGAGATCCTGTTTTGGTATTTGTTTTATTATTTTTTTGTCTTTTTCTCTCTCTTTTTCCTGTTTTGGCATATCCTCAAGCTCAGAGATTATTTCTTGAGCTGTGTCCAGTCTACTAATGACCCCATCATCAAAGACATTCTTCATTTCTTTTATAGTGTGTTTGATCGCTAGCACTTCTGGTTCTTTCTTGGAATTTCTATCTCTCTGCTTACATCAACCATCTGTCTTCGTTGTCTACTTGTTCTATTAGAGCCCTTTGCATATTATTCATAGTTCTTTCATATTCCTGGTCTGATAATTTCAACATCCCTCTGATATCTGAGTCTGGTTCTGACACCTGCTTTGTCTTTTGAAACTGCATTTTAGTATCTATTTTTTTATTTTTTTTGTTGTAAGTTGGACACAATATACTAGGTTAAAAAGAACTTTGGTTTAAAAAAAAAACCCTTTAGTGATATGCTGGTAAGGTTTGGGGGAAGTGGAAGCAACATACAGTTCTATGATTAAGTTTCAGACTTTTAATGAGCCTGTGCCCCTGGGCTGTAAACTTCACAGTACTTCTCAG